CGTTCATGAATCATTTATAGGTACACAATTTTTTGTACACTCTGAAAAACAGTTCAGCGTCTCATAAAGTATATATATATATATATTTTATATATATTTATATGATCATATATGTATATGATCTAGCCAACCCAAGAGAAAAGTCTCTTACATAAGTTGGAAGGTAATTGAGTAAGGAAGGACTGGATACATGCTTGGTGAAGACCATCCTCATAGGAATAGAGAAATTGAGCTAGGACAATGAATTTGAGTTATTGGACATTATTGGCCATTGCAAAATGTCAGGATTGCTCTTGGGGAAGCTTGCTAAAAAATAAAAATTCTGTTTCAGCAGTTCTGAGCTGGGACTCAGGAATCTACATGTTAATATTGGTGGCCTTGAAAAACATCCTCTAAAAAGGAGCATTAGCTTAAGAAAAATAAATCAACCAGTAAGGAGACTATGGGAAGTATCCACATGGAATGTAGAAAGGATCTTAACTGGGACTAGCTGTGGAAATATAAAGTAAGGACTAATCTTTGAAATTACTGGAAAGGTATAACTAGCAGAAATTAATGACTAATATAGAAATAAGTGTTGCTGAAGATGATCCAGACATTTTGGCTCTGAGTTGCTGCATAGTGACAGTACCACACAGTTTGAAAAGCTGGGCAGAACACATTTATTAAAAACACTTGAGATCAGGCTGTGACTTCTAACCTTGAAAGACTTTCATATGGAAATAGGTGACAGTGCTGGTTCAGGAGGTGGGTAGAGATGGATTTTAGAGACAGGGGCATAAAGATGATAGTTGACACTATGGAGAAATGCATTATATCACCAGTAGTGAAAAAAATGCTTACAAGAAAGTGGTTTAAGGTCCCTTAGGATCCACTTACCATATTTTAAATGAACCTGGAACAATGAGTCAACAAAGGAAACTGAACAGTTCAAGGAAGAGGAGCATGGAGCATAAACAGAAGAGTGCACTTCACAGTTTACAATGAACTGCCATGAGGGTTTCACAGATAGGCATTGTAATTTTGTGCAAACTAGGGAAAAGTGATTATGTGATTTCACCAAGGTCAAGTGAATAATTTGTATGATCTGCTCAGATGTCAATTAACTCTCCTGAAGGTTCAGTATTCTTTTCTTTGGGGAATGTTGAACACATTATTAATGTACTAATTACAGAGTATAGCACTATTGCCCTATGAAATAATTAAAGCTTATCAATTTTTTAAAAATAACCGGGAGTGCCTGGGTGGCTCAGTCGGTTGAGCAACTGACTCTTGGTTTCTGCTAGGGTCATGACCTCATTGGTCATCGGATTAAGCTGTGCCGGGCTCCCCACTCACTGGAGAGTCTGCTTGAGAGATTCTTTCCCTCTGCCCCTCCCCCCTCAAATAAATAAATAAATCTCTAAAAAATAAAAATAACCAGACTTATTGTGGTGATAATTTTGCAATATATATAAATGTTGAATCCTTATACTGTACACATGAAACTGATAATATTGTATATCAGTTATACCTCAATCATAAAAAAGAAATCATATGGTATCAGATAGGAACCAATGTAGCTGATGAAAACAAATGAAGCTAGTTGGGTGTAAAACAATAGGGAGTAGTAGGGTCCAGAAAAAAAATAAACAGGATTCTTTTTTGCCATGTACATGACTACTACAATAGTAATCACCTGTTTATGTCATTGGCTCCTTCTGTATTGCAGGTGGGATTAGGCATAGCTTTGAATTTTTTTCAGCGAAAAAATGAGATTCTAAATAGAATGATACTTTGCTTAATTTGTTGAGATCTCTAGTTAAAAAGAGTGGTTTTAAATAAACATATTCCTAACTATTCCTCTGCCATTAATATTTAACCTAGGAAATTCATCCCCAGGAGAAGTAATTTTACTGGTTTTATACTTGCAGATAATTCTGTGTGATACTTTGAAGAATATTTGTATGAGAATATGAATTGGAAAAATGTCAGTAAGGCAAGAAAACATTTCATTTTTAAGATAACATTTCTCTCTCTTTTTTAGTATCAAACAAATGAAATGATCTACCTCAGGTTCAGAGCTTATGCTTTTTTTTTTTTTACTGTATTATTAAACTATTTTAAATAAATTGTTTTGCCTACCCTTAGGATAACATTTAGACAGCCTTTTTGTTTCCTTTTTTGCAGTGTGAGCTGAGTCAGAAAAGGAAAAAGGTTTTCAACACTGAGTCAATGGGCAACTCAGAGACATGGTCACATCCTTCTCATGACTTTAACTTCCCTAATACCATCTCAGTTGCAACAACAGCAGCATGCAAATGTATTGGAATTGAGTGATTACATTAATCTCTTCAAGCTCATTTATTTTGACTGTAAAACATCAGGGTATACATTGGTCTACATTTACTAAGTAGTGCTGGTCAAGAAAATTTGCAGGTCATATGGTTATAGCAATGGAATATTTAGCTATTTTCTAACAAAGTGCAATTCCGTGCAAAGGATCTTGGTGATTCAGAGAGTTTCCAAAGAGTCAAATCAATTTTTCAATATAGACACAAGTGTTTCTATAGGATTTTGTGTGTTCATTCAGCTACCCCCCAAGAAAATTCTGGGTTGTAAAATTGCAAGAATATAGTGTATTATCTTTGATGTCTTTGGTGGTAAATCAACCCAAATGAGATTTGAATAAATGGAGTGGAATCTCTGTGCATGCATGCAATGGGAAGAAAATGATGGCAATTATAAGAACTGTAGATTTCATTGGGTGTGAATAGATATTCAGCTACATAGTAATTAGGTGACTGTTATGGAGCCTGGAGCTGTAGTAGCAGGAATTCAAAGAAGGCAAGCTGTTTTGCTCTAAAAATAAATCAAAAGAATTTATTGAAACTATCAATAAAGAAATAGTTTAGTTAAGCTGAATGGAAGTAAATTTGCATTTTTAAATATTTAAATTCACATTGATGGATCTATCCATGCTGTATGAAAATTATGTAAATAACATGTTTCCCCATTTTGCTTTAACTATACTGCCTTGTCTGAGTACTGTCTAGCTAAATTTTTCATCAGTATTTTTTTGGTAACTTTCATTCTCATTTTAACACTTCATTGTGAACATCAATTAACACTTCTCTTTGTGCCTTTTCAGTATAAGCTGCCTTTTTCTTTTGTTTTCCTAACTCATTACCAAAATATTTTTCAACCTTTTATTCTTGTATATTCTTTTTTTTAAAATATTTCTCATCTACTTACCTTCAGAGTGCTTTCAATATGACCAATAAGATTCAAAGAGTATTTAAAAACATCCAGTAAAGTTTAACAGTGAAGATAGTTACATCGGCAATTATAGACATGAATAAGAGTGGATAGATATCCAAAGCACTCGGGGAGCTTGGAGTTAAGGAAGAAGGGGAAGAAGGACAAAAGCATGCAGGTGATGGTGGGTTGGTAGGTGGTGTGGAGTAAGGGGAAAAGCTCCTGAATTTGTTAGAAAATTCAGGTTCTGTTCCATTTGTGTTACCAGTAAGCAGTCTGTTCTAGGACGGGGCACCACCCTTGTTCCTTAATTTCCTATCTGGTTAATGAAGAGGTCTGACTTTAAGGTCTCTTCCAGCTCTAGAACTTCATGATTGATTGCAAAGACTTAACTATGTAAATATAACATAGTCTTATTAAGCAGTTGTTTTGCATGGGGTTTAGCTGGTTTTCTTTTAATTGCTGACACTCACAACAGATTTTTTTTTTGGGATAATTTAGTAACCATTAGTTAGACGTGCCATTGTTGACGGTACATCGAGAATGAGCCAATAAAGGATTACCTTGAGTTACAGCGATGGTGAAGTCAGCATTACGTCCAAGTGTCTCGTTAAATGGGGATGGCATCAACTATTATTCAAAATAATGCGTTGAGTTAAAGGGCTCCTTCCTAACAGATTACAAAGTGTGAATGTGTTAACAATATGAGTCAATGTTTGAGTTACTTCTCTACTCTTTGACTGAGTAGATTGTTAGACCACATGCATGTTAAGCATAGTATAATACAGAAAATCAATTACAGCATCCTCCAGTAGAGTACAGGGTGAAGCTATTAAACATTTCATCAGGAAATTGCAAAGTACTACTGTAAAGTTCTTTATTGTTGGGAAGCCGTCATTTCTATAGTACTTACTTGTAAAAATCTACCATGGCAAGTTTCACAGCAGCCTCATTAACACTGAGCATTACTGAAACCATTTGGTGGAGGAGACAGTTTAGGGGGTGATAATAAGGAATAAAAAACAAATATTGTCATGGGAAGACTGCCTGTGCCATCTCTACTGTTAAAATCTACTCATGGGGCACCTGGGTGGCTCAGTTGGTTAAGCGACTGCCTTCGGCTCAGGTCATGATCCTGGAGTCCCGGGATCGAGTCCCGCATCGGGCTCCCTGCTCGGCAGGGAGTCTGCTTCTCCCTCTCCCGCTCCCCCTCTCGTTCTGTCTCTCATTCTCTCTCTCAAATAAATAAATAAAATCTTTAAAAAAAAAAAAATCTACTCATGATGCTAAGAAGAAAAAAATTTTCTCCCTCTATTTTTAAGATGCATCTTCCTTTCTTTAGACTTTCATTCTGCTTAAAATATAGAATATACGTAGTCTCATCACATTTTCTTTCAAGGTGCATTTGGAATTACTTGAAAAGCGCAGTAGGTAGATGGTGTTCAAATGATCATCTCTAGTGAAATTCATCTTCAAAGACAGAATTTGGAACTAAAAGAGAGGGGCTGAGGAGACAGCTGGTGTTTAGAGTGCCCACAGAACCTCAGCATTAACTTTTAGAACAGGAGGACTCAAGGCCTTGGCAGCATCCCAAAACTCAACCATTTTCATTGATTGGTGTGAATCATTTTCTCTCTCTGTTGCCTGTACTTTTTCCACCAGGCACACCACTTACGTGCCAACAAATCTGCTGTTGACCTTCCCATAGCTCTGTGCTGGGATGCCTACCACGGTGTTTCTAATCCTTGTCAATTTCATTCCAGACAGAGCTTTTTGTACATGCCTTCAAGGATCAGCTGGTCAGAAGTGCTCTCTTAGCCCTCTACACTGCCAGACCAGGAGGTGTCCTGAAGAAACCACCGTCTCCTAAGAACAGCACAGAGGAGAGCTGTCCCCAGGACCCACCCCCGCTGATGAAAAGGCAGGACTCCATACCACATCATTCAGACTATGATGAGGAAGAGTGGGTAAGCCTCATGCACATCACTTGCCTCCTAATGTTTAGTCCTGAAAAGGAAAGCAAGAAAGATGAGACATCTCTGCTTTTCATCAGAACAAGTAGGGAAGTAGTCATAATACAGACTGTAGATAAATAGGGCACTTTTTTCCTTGGGGGCAAATTATAAATGTGAGTTTTATTCCTGATCACAATCATTTAGCATAAAAATTTATATATATATATATATTTGGATATATACACACACACACATATATATATCTCCAAAATGTCATAAAAGCAAAAATGCCACAATTACAGGATTCTATAATACTTTTCTGTATTTATTGCCAAGGTATTATAAACCATTAAAATTGTGTTTTTTAGAAAAAGAGTCAGAAAATCACTCATAATCCACTACTTGTTGCAAATATTTTCTTGTTGCAATCTAGTGTTTCAGTTCTAGACATACTTCAAGAAGTATTAGCATTTCAGTGGCAGTGGATATATAGATGTCTTAAATCCTTCTTGTTCATGATTCTATTATTTAAAACAAGATGTTGTTCCAGGTGCTCTAAAATTGGCAAAAGGATGGCTACATAAAAGCATCTGAAAAAACAGCTAGTAAAGGCAAAACACACACACACACACACCAAGAAGAAGCCACCATGGTAATAAGAACTCTAGTTGGATAGAATAAGATAAGAAAAACATGAAGGTTCTGGGCAAAGGGGAACAGTGTTATTCCTGAATAAACACATATTGATTATCCAGGAACCATCCAAAGTATGTGCACATCACACACAGAGAAGGAAACTCTTTACTGTATCACGAGTTTAACCAAGAAAATTGTATTCTAGCCATATAGATGGTAAATAGTTAATGACTACTTTTTTCTGCCACCCGAGAATTTAAGAGCGTTTGGAGAGTAAATTATTTGAAAGGTCCGGCTCTCTCAAAAAATTTTGCTATCTGAAGGGCTGGGAAGTGATGCCTGTCTTTGTTTTGATAAAATTTCTATCACAGGAAAGACAGAGCTGTGTTCCAAGAGGTAAATGCTGAATAAGTATTTGTTGCTGCTGATTAAGATTACGTTTCTCCCACTGAAGCGTTTTCAAAAGAGCAAATCTAATATTTCTCCCCTTTACCTTCACCTTCTTCTTCAATTTATTCACAGCTCCAAGGCGTATGTACCTCTTAACCTCTCTGAAGTTCAATTTTCTCAACTATAAAGTGAAAATAACAGCCCCTGTTCTGTTTAGCTCTTCAGGTGGTCACGAGATAAATGACTTACTTGTGCAATAAGGGCCCCATTACCTGGAAAGGCCTAGGCAAATGCTTTGTATTAATTTAGTATTATTCCTATACGTTGTCTTTTTTAAGATGCATACATTAAATGGTCTTATGATGGGGATTAATACTATCCCTTGAGGTAAATGGGGAGACTGGATCTAGCATAAAATGTGTATTGGGAATTTTAAAGAGTTTGAGTAGGTATAGGAAATAACTTGTATTTCCTTTAATTAAACATACAGTGTTAACCTTGTGACAAATAATTTCCATTTTTATGTTAAATGAAGTGAGAATTTTGAAATTGGGTATCTTTTGTTTTGATCATTTTCACCTCGTGGTCATGTAAATCCTCCCCCACACCTTGCTGCTTTCCTGCTGCTCAAAAGTGTCCCTCTTCTGCCCTCCCTCCTTATTTCCTTTTCTTTAGATAATTTTTGAGACCTTCTATATTGTAGGTGCTCCAAATGGGAGGTTAAGTGACACTAGATCCTTAGGGTCTAGAAGTCAGAGTCTCATAGTGGATAAAACATGTTAGCAAATAGTTACACAATGTTGTAACCAAGGTTGGAGAGTGCCAGGTGGTAGAAAATAGGCTCTGCTAATATGACTTCCACTCAAGATTGTATGTACAGACGCTTTCATGAGGGGAAGAGAAGGAAGAGCGTGAGAGATGGGCGGTGGGCTGACAAGGTTTTTGTGGTGAGCCGTTCTGTGTTCCTGTGCATCTGCTCTGCCTGGTTCACTGTGCCCCATGCTAGAGACAGAAAGAAACACCCGGGGACGCAAGGGACTCCACGGCCTGTTCAGGGTTCTAGAAAGACAAGTGACAACTGCAGAGCAACTTGGGGTTGTACGTGGGATAAAGCTGGCAGGAGGCTGGTGGTCATGTGGATTCCCAGAAGTAAAATTCTTAAGACGTAGAAGGGAATAGAAAGTTAACCCTTCAAGAAAGAGAATGACTTTCAGACAGGCACACAGCAGCTGACATAGGAGAGAGAGAGAGAGAGAGAGAGAGTGTGTGTGTGTGTGTGTGTGTGTGTGTGTGTGATTATTATCATTAGTTGTTTCTTTGTTTTGCTTCAAAGATGGTGAAAATTGAGCATGTTTATACTCCAAAAACTATTTGAGAAGCAGATAGGTGATGACTGGTAGAGTGAGGCCCTTTCTCCGGAGAGAGGAGATGATTCTAGCACACAGGTAGAGCAGTCCTGGGCAAAGTGGGCTTATCTGCTGAGACTGCAGGGAGACTGTAAAGATCAGCTTCACTTTTGGGAGGCTGGATGAGGCTGGATGGCTTCTTTTATGTTTGTTTAAAATATTTTCCCAGTTGTATTGAGATACAGCCGACATATAACACTGTATTAGTTTAAGGTGTACATGATAATGATTTGGGAAATCATTACCACAATAAATTTAATTAACATACATCACCTCACATAGTTGAATTATTTTTCTATGAGAACCTTTATCATCTATTCTCTTCACAACTTTAAATATACAATACAGTGTTGTAGTGACTATAGTCACCACACTGTACATTACCTCCCCATGACTTATTATCTTATAACTGCAAGTTCATACCTTTTGACCCCCTTCACCTATTTATCCCAACTCCTACCCTCAGCTCTGACAACCATCAGTGTGTTCTCTTTTTCTATGAGTTTGTTTTTTCTTTGTTTGTTTTTAGATTCTATATATAAATGAGGTCATACAGTATTTGTCTTTCCCCATCTGACTTATGTTCACTGAGCTTAATGCCTTCAGGGTCCATCCATGTTCTTACAAATGGCAGGATTTCTTTCTTTTTATGGCTGAATGATATTCCACATATATACCACATTTTCTTTGTCCATTCTTCTGTCAGTAGATACTCAGGTTGCTTCCATATCTTGGTTATTGTAAATAATGCTGCAATGAATATGAGCGTGCAGATACCTCCTTGAGATCGTGATTTCATCTCCTTCAGGCATATACATACTTAAAAGTGGAATTGCTGGATCATATGGCTGTTCTATGTTTAGTTTTTTGAGGGACCTCCACACTGTTTTTCAGTGTGTTTCTGCACCAGTTTACATTCCCACAACAGTACATAGGATTCTCTTTTTTCCACATCCACATCAGCATTTGTTATCTCTTGTCTTTTTGTTGATAACCATTCTAACAGGTATGAGGTGATATCTCATTTTACTTTGGATTTGTATTTCCCTGATGATGAGTGATGTTGAGCGCTTTGCCACGTACCTGTTGGCTCTTGGTGTGTCTTCTTTGGAAAGATGTCTATTCACTTCCTCTGGCCACTTTTTAAATTTTTTTCCATTGAGTTGTATGAGTTCTTAATGTAGTTTGGATATTAACCTGAGTGCTTTATTTTATCCTTAAAATAGAGTTATGTGCAAAGAGAAGGGGAAGAGGAGAATAGGCTGAGGAGAGGGGTAAAAGTTTCAAATAGGCACCAAAGAAAATAGGTAGAGGCCCTTACTAGCAACATTTGGAAAAATTAGGAAGAATCCTGGTCCTCGTGAAGGACCAGTCAAGGTTGCAGTAGGAGTCTGTGTGGTTATTAGTTTACCCTTTATTATTCTTTTGGGAATACTTTCCTAGTCTTGACACTAGGAAAAAGTCATACTGATTTGTTCTTCCAATTAATGTGGAAGAGTCCTGTGAGTTTCTCAGCTGTTTTGGTTTCCTTCACAGGCAAAAGGGTAGGATAATAATAAAGATCTGCATCTCCCTCTTTATCTTCTTTCATATTATTTCTGAATTTCCTCCAGAACCCGCTGTTGCTAGAAGGTATGAATACTTTGTCTAAATTTACCACAATTACAAGGAAAATCCTTCCCACTCAGAAAAGTTGCTTCTCTCTCCTCCTAATATAATTTGACTCTGTGTACAAATGTAACTAACTTTGATTGTTACATAACATTCTAATTGATTTTCCATAGCAGCCACTTTCTACTAAAAAGATACCTTGGTTAAAAGATAGAAATCCCTTACTTAAAAATAAATTTACCGAAGTCATAACCATTTAACGTTATTTTCAAAGCTTTATCTAACTTTGAAAAGTTGAGTAAATCCAAAGAAAATGTAGCTAATTGAAAATGCCTTTAGGGCGCCTGGGTGGCTCAGTTGGTTAAGCGACTGCCTTTGGCTTAGGTCATGATCCTGGAATCCCGGGATCGAGTCCCACATCCGGCTCCCTGTTCAGCGGGAGGTCTGCTTCTCCCTCTGACCCTCTTCCCTCCCGTGCTCTCTGTCTCTCATTCTCTCTCTCTCAAATAAATAAATAAAATCTTTAAAAAAAAAAAAGAAAGAAAATGCCTTTAGAGACAGTGCTATTAAATGAATTGGAAACATAACTTTGTGTACCACTTTTCTTAGTTAATTAGGTGTTAGAAAAAGTTTCAGCTCTGATTACATGTTTAATCAACTTTCTGAAATAATTCAGTGTTTTAAGTTAATTTAGTTAGGTTTCTGCAGTATATGAAAGTATTCTCTGATCATTTAAGTTGGTTTAGATTTGCACATAAGATTACAGTAGCTCCATTTAAAAAAAAACATTATTTGTTTTATTTAATGTCTTACAATGATTGTAGTTTTAACAATCACTTAACTTGAACAACTATCTTTAGCCTCTTATAATAAATGTTGGAAAGTAAATATATACGTGTAAATTACTCTTGAATTCTGCTCTGTTCATATAAAAACCTTTCTCTCTGAGGTTAAGAGAAAGAATTTCTA